GGGAGCAAAAGTATTTATCAACATCCATAAACTTCATTTAAGTTATATGAATGCTTTAAAATCAACTATAAATTTGAGCATGTCATCCATAGAACAAAAGAATTAGTAAAACACCTTAGAGGAGATGAGAGGAGAGCACATAGGATTTACCTGGGATTTATGGGTTCCAAAATGCTCCCTAAGGTGCTTCCCTATGAAACCCTAGCAAAGCCCAAATGTTCTCTCTCAGTTTCACTCTCAACCTCTCATTTGCAATTAAATCTAATTGCATTTATGTAATCTAAAACTTTTGATATATTCATCGTAGCACATAGTGACATCCGCCACAATGGATTGTCCCAAATGGGCAACTCTACTTAAGCCTAATTCCTTGGTCCAATAGCTTTTAAAACCCTATTATAAGCCCATTAGAGGGTCTAATAAACCTAAATGGCTATCCAAATCCAAATATTAACTTCTAATCACCCCAGTTAATAAATTAAATTACTTAATTAATTAAATTAACCTCTAAATTAAATTTGGGATGCCACAAGTTCCACCCCTGCTAGCCATGTGTGTGTATTGCAGCTCATTTTTTTTTTTTATAACTATGGCTTCTACGTTTCTAATATTTCATATTAACATTGATTACATTAAATTTTAGAACCAAATTCATATTTAAATATGTGTGGAGATGGATAGATATAATTAGCGATAGTTAGGAAACTCAACTTCCCTTAAACAATGTCAAATATTTTGGTGTAGAAAAAAAATTATGTTTTAAGAGCTACTTTAATTAATCCTGGAAATATTACATGCAAAATACAAAGAAATTGTACCAAGGTATATACAAATATTTCTAAATGGGTGTGCGTGTGTTACGATACTTTTATAGCGTGTGATCTGAGCATAAAAAAGCTTGCTGCTCAACTTTAATTAATTTTATAACTATTTCGATTGTAATGTAAAAAAGCTAGCATATATCTGCATACAAATAAATTGAATTGAATCATTTATTATTGCAATGTCACTTTTGACAAAGATATATTTATATACAACGGTGGATCCACATATATTTGAGAGGGGGCATATGCCTCCCTCAAATGAGAAAAATTACTTACATAAGAATGAGATTATAAATATATATATTTTGTGCCCTCTTTTTTTTTTTATAGTTTGCATTTTAAATTATTTCATATTATTTTTTAACTTAGATCCAAAATTAATTTTTTAACTCAAAAGTCTAATACCCAAATAGTAATATTATTTTATAAAAAATAATATTTATTAAACCTTTAAGAAAATAAGAAAAAAAATAATCTTGCGTACATCATTTGAAATTTCAAAACAAATTTGTTAAAAAATTAGTTGAGAAAAACAAATTGTTTATTCATTAATTTACCTTCTCTTGAAATTAGCAAAGGTGTTACCTATTATCACAGCAACTATTGAAAAAGCCTTTTTTATTGTAAAGTTTGCAAAAATTTAATTATACAATCAAATAAGGAATCCATGGATGAATGATTATCTCCTGACTTATATTAAAAAAGATATATTTAAAAGTATTGACAATGAATTGATTGTTTAACAATTCCAAAACATAAAATCACGTAGAGAAAATTTATAAAGTATGTAATTATTAAATAATTTTTATTATTTTTTAAATTATGAATATGTAAATAATTTTATCCCTCCTAACTTAAGATCTCGACTCCACCACTGTCTATATATGAAGTAAAAAGTGGAGGCAAGTAAGGTTGAATTCTTTTTTATTCAATTTTGCGACACTGCAGATGATTGAACCTTTTTTTTTTTTAAAATCTATATATGAAGTAGATCGTGAAAGCAAGTAAAGTTGAATTCCATTTTATTCAATTTTACGACACTACGGATGATTAAACCTTTTTAAAAAAAAAAAACTAGGAGACGATTAATACAGAAATTTCTTTTCAGATGATTTAGGTCAGTAGTTGTACAGCTCTTGTTTTGCCACTATTTGAAATAAAAGATCAAAGTTGAATTCAACAAAAATATAACGCATCAATGCTTATAATTAAACTGAATCAACTGAACTAAATCGATCAAAAATTGAACTAGTAAACAAAATAAAATAATTTTTGCACGTCGCAATTAATCCTGTCAATTGATTTCACGAATTGGGTTTGGTTACGGTTATCCAAACCAAGTCGATCGGGTTATTTATTTTTCTCTACCTAATTTATAATACATGACACTTGGATTGATACATTATTATCGGCCAGGTTGTGTCAGTCTAATATAAAGAGACAAGAGTTATGCAACAGAAACAGGGTGTAGGTATAAAATATTGTCAATTATTGAAGAAATCATATTCATTTTTTGTTAATTTCATTTAAATTACAAATTAAGTCAACAACGCTTCAACCTACACATTTATTCACATTTCATCCTTATCACCTGATCTTTATTTCGAATTTATTAAAACCAGATAGTGGATTCAATTCGTTTTATAATTTATAATAAGTTGAGTTTATTTATGATATATATACATATATATTATATTATACATAAATATAAAAATTATTTGAACACTTACTCTATTTAAAAATATATTTTATCTTAAAACCATAAGACACACCCATCATCTGGTCAAATTTTCAAATTGAATGTAGGTTTTTTGGTTCGCATGAAGCTTTAGCTGAGTCATGTTTGTATGAATAATAAATAGCAGGAGTTTTTTTTTTTTTTGCCCTGAAAATAGTAGGAATATAACGTCTTATAGATTTTATACATTATATTGTAATAATACTAAAATGTGGTAATGTTATGGAATGATTTGACATACTCCATTCATCCTGGTTTGCAAGTAATCTTTAAATAACAATTGTGCAAACTATTAAAATTTATCAAATATATGTTATAATTTTATTTTTTAAAAAATACAAATATAATTTTTTAAAAATATCATTCATTTAATATAACTTTACTTGTGAAATATTGAATAGAAAAAATAATGTTAAAATAAGTAAAATTAATAAAATTTTATTTTTATTAAAATATTTTATATTTTAAAATATTGAAATATCTTTAAGTTTGTTTTATAAAGATTATGAACAGTGAATTTGATTTGGGGGCACTGAAGAAGGAAGGGGGGCATGCAATTACCTTGCAGACAATCCCCACCAGAACCGCCAATCGGCTGCCACTTCATCAACTGTCGCTCTCTTCCCTCCTCTCCACTCAATTCTTTTGGTATTATCTTGAATTAAGGGTGATTTTTATTCTCACCTTATATATAAAAAGTCATAAATATTTTTAAATTTAATTATAAGTTATTTTTATTTTTTAATTTTAAAATTTTTTTATTATCATCCTAACATTAAAAATATTTAACATTTTATAATTATTTATGAGTCTCATTATTTTTTAAATATTTTTTTAAATTAAGAGTTATTTTTGCTCGCCAACTTTTATTTGAATTTTGAAAAGTTATTTCTACCCCTCAACTTAAATATTTTATAATAAAAAGTATTAAAAAATTTAATGACACACTAACAGTGAGAAAACGATGAGGTGATGAAAAATATAATATTTAAAGTTGAAAGACATAATTAATTTATAATTAAATTTAAAAATATTTATAATTTTTTATTTACAATTCAAAAATAAATGGCTTTTAACACTATTATCTTCTCCGCTTCATTTTGGCGTCTCTTTCATTTATTTATTTATTTTATCCTCTTAAAGATTTTAAGTCAGAAAAATTTAACCCGGAATGTGCACACTGCACGACCCATTATCGTACAGCAAATATTATTAAACACTTGCATTTACTCGTTTTAATTATTACTTTCAGTTACAATGCTTTAATGATTACTCTCCATTACCTTTCCTCATTTTTCTTGAGTTGCCAACTTGCAGCACCAATTTCTTCAACGTCAAAAGCATCATGCGTCCTACATTACTAAATTCGACATCTCATGAGTCATGACATCGCATTGGAGAGTCTAGCAATCTGTTTGTTGATGTTATTCTCCCCATGTTTGATCCAGAGTCAGGCCAAGATCAATTTCTTTTTACTGTAATTGAAAACAATTTTATTTAAGACAAGTTCCGTGCTAAAATGCAAACATTTTTTTCCCGCATGAATTCAAATTTATCATGTTATGAAGGATTAATTCCTTCCACTAAATCCAACCCTTTCATGCTAGGCTAGGATCAGCTTTAAATCCAAAAATACAACGGGGGATGATGGAGGAAGTAGAATTGTGTCAAAGTGATCATCATGCTATAACCAAAAAAAAAAAATTATTTACCAAAATATGATACTTTTAAAAATATTTACCAAGATGCTGTGAACTGAAACTCGATCTAATAGATACCAAGTTTCAGAATTTTTTCTGTCAAACATATAGACAGAACATAGTTTCTATAATACTGAGTGTCATGCAATTAAAAATACAAAGCATCAAACATACACGAGACCTCCCCCCGCCCCCCTTCTACTTTCCGGGCGTGTGTGGAGTTGAGGGTGGGAGAGAGTGCGGCAGTTACGTTTGATGCATTTTTTGTAATTGCAGAGAACTGGGTATTATAGTAACCAAGTTCGATATACATGTCTGTCATAAAAAAAATTTGAAACCCCATTTCTATGAGATTGAGTTTCATTTTATAAAATCTTGATAAATATTTTTGAAAGTGTAAATATTTTGGTAAATATAATTTTTTGTTATAGCATGACGGTCAATTTGCTGTAAAATTGTGCTTTTGTAATTTTCACTGTAGAAATTTCCATATTTAAGTAACAAACATATATTTAAATACAATAAACAAACTAAAAAGCCATATCTTCTCCTAATATTTAAATGCCATATGTGAGTGTTTTAAAAACATTTCAATGATTGTTGGGGTTAAAACACGACTATGATGAACTAAGATTAGAAATGTCCATTACGAGAAGTACCACATTTAATCTCGATAGTTTCTTGAACAAAATTACCTCGAATAAAACTATACATGCAAAATAAAAAAATTACAATAACTAATCAAAAAATATTTTACTTGAAAATGAAATCAAGGTGCTTCATCTTTCCACGAGACCTTATCCTGAACTTGTCATTCGACAATATGCATTGCACAGAAATCATTTTAGAAAAACGACATAACATGCCCCTGTTAGCTCATATATTTCTAACCCACCACTAATTTCAATTTCCATCCTTCGTCATCCCACTAAAAAGAAAAGAAAGATGACTTATTGCTACAACATAACACATTTTCTTACTTCAGTCGCTGTATATTTCATCGATTGCAGCAATGCCGCAAAACTTGACTAACTTTCCAACCGCCATAATTTATCTATCCGGCACCGGGAAGAATAGATGAACAGTCGGGCTATTGCCAGAATATAGGTAACCTCGTCATATATTCACTGGACCTGTATTTACTGGTTTCTGAAAGAATCTGGCAACTGGCATCCCATCACCGTCATCATTTCCTACTCTCCATGAACGATCTTTCTTCTTCTGAGGCTTCTTATGATGTTTGTGAGAAGCATTAGACTTCTTGACAGTAGCTTTCTTAGGGGCAAGGTCATTAGCTATGTCAAATGAATTAAGATCATCCAACACGTGCTCAACACTAGGTGCAAGTTCACTCTCGACATCTGAAGAATTTTCATTATGACAAGAATCTGCCTCGTTCAAGTTAACCGAGTCCTGTCTACCAGGGTTGGACAGAGCTTGATCCTCATTCGAAATTCCAGGGGGCATTTCATAATGAGGCAGCTTCCCATCAATGTAATCTTTCAGTATCTGACGGGCAGCTCTAGTTTCATCAGGTAGCCCACTAGAGGCAACATACCCACGAGATGCACAATAAGTTCTCAGAAGTTCAGACGCTAGAGAAGGCCTAGATTGGGGTTCATATGGCTTAGGCTTTGGGAGGGTGATCTTATAAACTTCCTCGATGACATGCCTAGGAACTTTATCAGCCACAACCTGGACAGCCTCCCTGTGTTCAGTAATTCTATCAATGGGTAACACCCCACAGGCAATCATCTCATATCTTGAGCTTGAAAAGGACGGAAAAACTAACCCAGGACAGTCACAAAGTGTTAGCCTATCGGAAATTATCAATGTTTGGAAGTGCTTTGTCTTCCCAGGAGTGGAGGTAACACCTGTCCGTTTTTGGCCTACCAAAGCATTGATAGTTGAACTTTTACCCACATTAGGATAACCAACAAATCCCACAATTACATTACTTGATGACGAGCTACCAGAAGCATTTTCACTACGAGATAGAATATCAGAAGGCCCTGTGTCAGAGGAGCTTGATTTTCTCCTCCTCTCTACAATCTCTTCTGCTTCTGACTGTAACCGAGCCAGGAGCTCATCCCTGCCATATATTTTAGTAGCTGGGTTACTGGACTTCTTCAAATCATCAATATCCAAAGATGAACGAAGCTTTTTGCCTTCAAGAGCTGCAGAAGCAGCTTTAGCTGACCAGAAGATGAAGAGAATATCATGAGCCTGGAAGTACTCTGCCCATTTCTCTCTGTAGGGAGGGGAGGGCGCAGTAAGAACCTTAGCAGGACAAAAAACTAAAGAAATGAGTTCACACACAAACTTTATAAGGGCAATCCAAACCTGGTAGAAGTGGGCAAAAGATCTGCCTTGTTAACCAGCAGTAATGTCCGTTTATGCTCATCAACCTCTCTTGCATATGCCTAAGTCAGAGTAGAATTATTGTCAAAACAAAGTGAGTAGCTCTCATGGAATTCTTTTAAACGTGATAATATGAGATGTCCACAGGTATTTAAGGGTTTTTTTTTTTTAGACAAAAAGAAAGGCTAAATACTAAAAGTTGAATATAGTAAAAGTTAAGGATTATAGTTTGAGTAAAGCTGAAGGTTTTTTAAGTAGCATCCGTGACTTTCAAGAAGTAGCCAAAGAGGCACTAAAAGAATTATCAAGCAATAATTTGTGGCTTTTATAAACATGATTTGATGAACTTTGAAAGATAGTGCAAATCTTAATTTCCACCAAGAAAAACCAGAAAAAGTATAGTTTAACCCCAAACATCATTATATTCTGTTAAATAATGTATGCATCACTTTAAAAGGGTCTCGTTCCACTTTGAGTTCACAATCCAAACTTCATCAATCAAGAAAATAGTCTCCTTACCTCAAGATCAGGACAGCGGTAAAAAAGTGGATCTCGTGAATCAACAACCATCACAAGCTGGTTAAAAAAAGATACATGAGATTTGCATCTTCAATAATAATATAATGAATTGGCTTTTAAAGAATTACATGATCTTGAAAACAGAGATAGGCAGAAGTCAATATTGGGTAGATTGCAAGAACCAATTAAAAGTGATCTTACTAAGTCTATCAATATTAACTGCAAATGTCAGATAGGAACAGAAACTTAAATTATCCAAATAATAATTTCAAAATAGGTTTTGAGATTTTTCAATTTGAAAAAATAAGACAGGAAAAAAGATTATTTAAGACTTCATAAAGAGGATCTTGCCCTCAACTTGCCAGTGCATAACATTCACTCAATATGCAAGTCACGAGGAGAAAGTAAATTGGAAGTGAAAAGCAAATGCAATTATAGTATGCTAGTATTTTCTACCTGTAGAATCAAACTTTACGTTCTATGAGAGAAGCAAGCACAGATACAGAGCCAGCAATAAAGTAAGATCATAAAAGAATGATAGTTTATTTGCTTCAACAAAATGAAGAAGTAAACTATGACTATCCACAGGCTAATTGTCCATATATAACAAGAATAGTTTTCCTTCGGGGCTCAACAATTTTTTTTTTCTCCTGGCAATTTTTGAGCATTTTTCAACTATTACTCATAAGAATGAGCACCGCAATCTAAAAAACAAATTTTCAGCCTTATCCCAAGTAACCAAGTCATTGTGATGCAGGATATCAACTCACCAAATCACTACGCTCAACAACTCGCCAAAGCTGTCTCCAAATATCAAGATTCTTCTCAAAGGGTGTGAGGACAAGCTTCTCATTTTCCTCAAGCCTGAAAAGAAATCATTCAACATGCGTAAAAGGAACTATACAAAAAAGCTGTCCTATTTTATTCTTCTGAGTTCTGATAAATCAGTCGTCTTTAGTATGAAATCATTACGACTCAAATTTACTAAGATTGTTTTGTCAATCAGGTAACCACACGAGCCTAACCTTGCTAGACTGCGACGCCAAGTCAAGAAAGCTTGTCTCTCATTGGCATCAAGCTCCTCCACAGACATGTTCACGCTCCACGGCGGCCTAAACGAGCACAAAGGAGTCAGAACAAACAGATGAAGGGGAGAAGCAGAAACAATTTGGTTAAAAGAAATACCTGCGTGGAACTCGCAGGCTGCCAGCATGCAGCGCCTCCTCTCTCTTCTGAAGATCTCTCCTCTCCTCTGGCGTCATGTCCCTAGTGCTAGAGCTTGCATCCCTACTCCGATGCAATGAAGATCGCTTAACAGTTAATAATTAACATACACAATAAAATTTAATTGGAGTCAGCGGCGGAGGGAGGGCGGGCGGGCACGCCCCTGCTCAATTTTTTAAAAATTTTCTTTATATTACACAGGTGTTACATACTTCCGGCCCTTAAAATTCATGAAAACTTTGTAATATATATGTTTTTCAATCTTGGCTTCCCTTATTCTTAAATCCTAGCTCTGCCTTTGGAGATATGTTCACAATTCCCCTTTAGTAACATGCTCAGAAAGCATAATAGGCACTGTAAATTCCAAATTCCAGAACTAAGATCCAGAAACAGCATGAGATGCCAAAGGCAGCGTAATTTTGAAAAACAAAAAAACAAAAACAAAAACAAAAGACGAGCAAGGCCTTCGCAGCACCCCCCAATCTTGGAAAGTGAGGCGGGCTAGAAACTCAATAGCATCGAAATAAACGTTAACTTAGCCAAAGGGTAAATTCATTACCTTTCATTTAAATCATTTTATTTTTATAAAGGTGGGGGATTTCAAGCTTAACCGTTAAGATACACAGCTTAGTTATCGAGATAAACTTGCAATCAAAATAGGGGGAAAGGGGAAATAACGCACTCTCGTTGTCGCAAATTGAATAGAAAATAACTCACAGACTAATGGGGAGGTCAGGGGCCGGGTGGTTGGCGACGAAGAGACGCTCAGCCTCGTCTGCTTGTTCGATGATGGCATCAATGTCGGTGACCTCTGTGACCGATTCCAAAATCTTCTTCTGCTGATTCTTGTAGAACCGACCCTTTTCCTTACTCTGCTGGATCATCTGGTTGTGCTGCTTCACCAAAGCCCTCCCCAGGTCTGACTTCTGATTCTTTCCCATTATACTCAGAATCGGAAGGAAAACCCCAACCAACTGTCAGCACAAAACTCTCGTCCAAAACCCTAGAATTTAGCCAGGCTTGTCAATAGTTTTTCTTCTCTGTTCTACAGTGCTATTCTCCTAACGAGGATCATAGCCAGGGAAGTCGCTTTCATTTATTTTTATAGTATATCTAAAATTTCAAATTTGCAGACGAAAATGGGAAAATAACAGTAAAATTCTAAAATAAGAAATTAATATTTCTCCACCAAAACTTTTTTATAAATAAGTTATAAATATTTCTTTAAATAATTATAAAAAAATTTAATTATAAATTAAAATTTATATATAAAATTTAAATATCTCATCTCTAATGAAAATTTTTTAATTTATAATAATTTAATTTGAAACGATATTTATATCTATTTTTCAAAAAATTTTATTATAAATTTAATTTAATTATCATTGATTTATTTTTTAAAATTTAATTTTTAATTTTCCAAGATTTTAGATAATAATTCATAATCATTCATCAATCTATCTCTCTATCTATTTTTTTTTTTAAAAACATGTGTGTATAACTGTGTATATATATGTATACACATATCTTTCTATGGGGAGGTAGACAACGTGTAGTTCGGGCCTTCGAGGCAGTTTAGTGCTTAATTGTTAGGGCTAAGTTTAAAGTTTGGCCCAACCTTGAAATTATTTTAAAAAACTTTAAAAATAATAAAAGAAAATTTATCTAGTGATGTAAAGTATAATTGTTCAATTTTTTGTCAATAATTATCCTCGTTCAAAATAAATTTTATACAAAGTTAATATTAGGATGGTAAGGTTATACTTTTACAAGATTAAGTTATTTTAATATTTGTCATGTCATCATTCAAATCAAGACCATATTACCAGTTAAAATTAAGATAAAAGATCAAGTTTTTTATCATTGTGAACACTCCATTTTGTTTGGTCCCTCATAGAACAATTGAATAAGCAAAAATAATTGAAAACTTTTTTTCAATAGATTAATAAAAAGAATGAAATGAAAATTAATTAAAAAATCATCAAATGAAAAAAAAATTCAAATTTGTACCTTAACATAAGTCTTCAATTAGCAAGAAGATTTAGTTCTCAAAATTGTGGCTTGATTTAAAATAATAAAAATTAAATAAAATTAATCATAAATTGTGATTTGATGAAATTTAACTATTAAAGATAGAAGCCTTAATTCTCATATATAAAAAGGTCAAGAGAATGGGGGCAGAAAAAAAAGGTAAAAAAAATAGAGAGAGTGGAGTTTGAAAAGATAAAAACCAAAAAAAAAAAATTGCTAGATAAAGATAAAGATAATCATTCTCTCTCTTCTTCTTCTCCTTGCCTGATAATATAGGATTGAAAAAAGAAAGAAATAATTTATAGAGTAAAGCTTTATTTTTTTTTCTTGAATCTGGATACATTCTTATGAATCACAAATTTTTTATATTGTAAATTTATAGAAATGCCTATCTGCATATATATTTTTGCTTTCTTCTTCTTTTGTTTAGGGAGTTCAGACCATTCATTTCTTTCTTCTACTTTTGGTGTGTTTTGTCTCTTTTTACCATTTTTTTTCCCCTTTCCTTTTTATTGTTCCTTGTATTTCTACATGATATCTTCTTTACACGTGCATTGGAGCGCGTCTGTTGGCGAGGCCTTTCATTTCCTGTTATTCCTTTTCATCTCTTTTTATTGGCATCCGATTTATACACACTCGTAGAAAAATATAAAAGCACATATATGGTTCAAGCACATGTATTGATTGGTTATTTTTTGTGCCTATAAGGTGGAGATGATTGAAATAATCACCTAAATTACTATAAGTGATAAAGATCCTGAGGTTTGATCCCTTGTTTTTTTCTTCCAAAAATTGCCTATATTATTATACGCTTCTCTAACACACATTACATTAATATTTAATTTGAGAGTTTTTTATTTTTTTAAATCATATCATGTGAAATTTTTAAAGTCTTCACAGGTAATTAATCAATTGGCATGCCATATGTAGCAATGGGCTACCTCGGGCACACTAATCATAATACTTAATTAATTTGTTTTATTCATTGTTTAAAAAAGAATTTTTTATAAATATAAATAAGTCAAAAAATAATTTTTATGCTATATGAGATGTTGGAATTTCCACGAACATAAAATAAATTAATTTCTGTATTAGATTTTGTAAATCTCCAAAGGAATTTCAATATAATTTTTTTTAAAAAAATCCTTTTTCAAATAAAAGAATAAGTCTTTTTTTTCAAATCAAAAGATACCAATCCAATTAAAAACTTTTTTAAAAAATAAAAAATTCTTTTTCCAAAAAAATGCTAACAAACTGACATACATTTTTATCTTTTAACTACATGAGCTTTGATTTCTTTAAAGAATATATTAGCTCTAGAGTTTTATCCTAGCCCCTAGGTCAAGTTTAACATGTAACTAAATAATATTTTTCTTGATTTAATTTTAAATTCTTCTTATCTCCTTTTTTCTTATTTTATTAATTAAAAGTAATTAAATTTTATTTAAGACCATATTAATTTTGTCTAATTCACTTAAGATAACCATTTTTATGGATGGATAATACGAGATACCTGACACTTTCTTTACACACAACTGACTTCCAAACCTTATTTTAGTTATTATAAATCTTTTTTAAAAAAAAGTTTTAAAAATTATTCTTTTAAAATTTTAATAATAATTCTTATATTTATTGATTTTCCTTTCTGGGAGATCATAATTCGGGTGCAACAATATGCATTGCTCTTTTTTCGTTCTATTACAATTAAAATATCCTTTAAGTTAGTCCCCAGCAATATCACTATATCAGGACGGCATTCCTCCACATCGACTTCACATTCAAGATTTTAACTTCAATAATAATAGTAGAATCAATACATTCCTAGGCATAAAAAACAAATACAATCTGCAGACATGGTTATAAATCGCACCACAATAAAAACAAAAAATCGAGAATCAGCATCAATGGACACAAAAAGCAGCAGTGTGAAATTACAAGCCAAACTCTAGGGAAAGATTGAAAATTTCTGGTTAAAAGAATTTGTTGTACTGGCTGGTCAAGGATTCCCTCAGATTTGAATACAATCCGTAAAGAGAATATTGGCGCAGGTTTTCTACTTCATACCATGAGTTAAGCACCGTAAGATGCTTGTCGGTACCAGAAAAGGCTAGCTGTATCCCAAGACTACAATCCACTGAACCCCCTCGGTTCTTACAAGATGATGTTCTTATTGCGCAGTCTTGTTTATTGAGGCAAACAAAGTTAGATTTTCCTTTGCATGAAGCGCATCCGTCTCTCTTCCAGTACAAATTCTGTAGCCTACCCTTCTTAAACTCTAGCACCTAACATGACAAATCCAAGGCCTTCAAAATAGGTTATCAAAAAGCCAAAGTCTGAAATTGTCGCGCCCATGGTTTAACATTCTTACCAGTGTAAAACTTGTCACAATGTATGAGCTGTTTGCAACAAACGCAGGTAGAGACCTTGCAGCATATTTTCGCCCAGCAAATGCCACCATATACCCACCATAAGAATCCTACATATTATGATGGTAAACAAAAAATCAAATTCAGGTAAAAATGGAGAAGCTGCTCAGATGCAACTTTCTTTTTTTTTTTTTTTTTTATAGCTTCTCTAGTTTTTCTTTTCAGGAGAACATAAGATGCCCATCTATACTAGCAGCTTCCAGACATGCTAGTATATCTTTTCAGAACGGTGATTGTACAACAAACCATTCCGTGCTGTCTGCGTGAACATGTCCTGAGAATTTTAGTCTAATCATGAAGTTGTTCAAAAGTTTCAGCGCTGAAACACTTCAGCATTTTCTTTTCTTTTGACAACAAAGACATCGACAGTTTTATTCATGCATAATATAATACACAAACAAATCGCACGTCAACCTAGCCGACAGAGCCCCCTTTAATATTCAATCGCCAGCAGGAAATCTGTCTTATCACTATGTGAAAATACACGTTTTGGCGACTCGCCTTACTAATTTGAGCATCAAGTAGAGTCTTCTTATATACCCATGTTGAACCACAATTTCGTTCAGTACAGCTGCTTCCCAACTTAGGAATAGTGATTCTTCACCTCACCATGTTTACCTTGGCAATTAATAATATGTTCAACATTATGGATGCAATGTACTTTTAAACCAAGGGCTTCATGAAGAAATTAAGTGAAAAGGAGACACGGTAATGAAACCAAGTTTGTCCAGATCGAATTATACTCTAAACATAAAATAAAAATATAAGATTAACATTCACAGTCAGACATTTAAGTTGACGTAACAAAAATAGCAAATTGTTTTGAAGAAATAGAATCCCAGCTTAGAAAGATAGCAGCAGCAGGAAAAGAGATCATTTCAGTCAGTCAATAGCTCGCAGGAAATTTCAGTTTCAACAGTGATGAGCAGAAGTGAAGAAGAAGAACAATACAGTGCTACCAATAGTCCTGCTTATATTTGTGTTACCATTGACAAGAAGGCAGCAATAATGACAGTAAGCCTGTGGTATAGTGGAAAAACAAATAAAGTGACAAGTGCAGATTAGAACTTATAACCATGATCTCTTCCCTATTTTTTTTAAATGGAATACTGTTATCCAACTCTACATTTATCTGTTAGTAAACCTCATTAAAACGGTTTTGGGAACATCTTCAGACAGATTAGGGTCAGATAAGCTCCAATAGGAATGCACCTATAATTATTATTGAGAGCTATAAAAATTACAGCAAAGCAGGAATCAGCAAATATCAAACAATAGCTAAGGCACCCGATTTACAATAGCACTATTTGATCCAACAAATAGAAGCAACCATCACACTCATTCTCTATAATCCACCTTCACAAATAAAATGAAAATCGAATGCAAAAGCAAGATCCAAAAGCAGAAATTAGCAAAGAACTGCATCCAATGCTGGGAAAAGGAGAAGGGAAAATAAGAACGCCGGCTTACCGGAAAGAAATTAGAGGTGTTGATGGAGAGGAGGGAGATCTCATCGACTTTCGGGCGGAACAAGGCGAGCTGTGAGTTCGGCGACGACGAAGCCAGACCGAGACGGCTGTCACATGGAGAGAGCTGGTGGGACTGATTGTAGAAGAACGAATCCCTGGAACTGAAAGCAATGCCGAAAGTGTAGCCATCAGATCTCTGAATCTTGGTATCGGCGCAAGGGTGGTAGACCCTTTTGGTGTTGTCCGCGTCGAGACACACAACCAGCAGCGTCAGGATTAGCATCACCAACGCTGCCATTTTTGCAGCCATTGTAGACCCGAGAGGATCTTGATCGGAATCTGCAGCAGTGATAAGGCTTTTTAAGGGATTGCAGAGGACTATAGGTCAGTGGTAATCGGCAACGGGAGTGTTAACTTTATTTGAAGGCTTGGTTCTCGCTTAGTAACTTGAGTCTACATTATCAGTCTTCGTAAGCGGACAGAAACGAGGAAGATAAGTAGAGTAACTGCATATGAGGAAAATAAAAGGGGCCAAAAACAAAGGCAGAGGTTTGGACCTTTTTTTCCCGCAACGATGCATTACGATATTAATTATCAATTAATAATATAAAGTTTACATAATAAGAAGCCTTTTTAATAGATAAAAAGTATCAGCACGTAATTAAAAACGTCACGCATTTTTTCTATAAATTTAAATATCAACTATCAACTACTACTTTTTAAAAACTGTCAATTTAACTGATTTTGTCCCATAATTAGAATTAAAGGAGTAGTAAGTGAAGTTTGTATTTAGTACTCATCAACCCAATGCTTATCACCACATGGGGTGATCTTGACCCTTTATTTTCCTCTCAAATAATTTCAATTGTTGATTTTCAATTGTTTTTAAATAATTTTAATATTATATTTATTATATAAAAATTATAAAAAAATTAATATTAAAACTGATCAAAACATTAACAAGCAGTTAAACAACTCCATCACATTGAATCCCATCCAAATAGTACCTCCCATTTCATTTTGATTTATTTTAGATGCTTTGCTCTTTCAAATAAGCAGGTGACATTTCACGATAATCCTGCCTTTAAAAGGGAAAAAAGAAAAGAAAATTTGGACTTATTGAAATAGTACTGAATTCTTAAATATAAGAATAAGAAATAAAATGATCATACAAATACAACAGGTAAAAAAGCTTTTTCACTCTCCTTTCAAAAAAAAAAAAAAAACCATTGTTGGGTAATAATACTAAAAATATAGTACAAAAAAACAAGTCTCCAAGCATCCAAGAATAACTTAGCGTTGCCCTGAATTTACAACACTAGCTCTAATATTCCATCCTTTGTTGTTTGCCTTGGACGGGCATTGTAGACCTACAGTGCCATCCGATGTAGTTGTATTGTTATTTTTTATAAATTAAATTTTTTAAATAAATTAATATTTAACTATACTTTCTTCAATTTATTTTATTAATTATTTTTTAAAAGGGTAAAGTAATTCACTTTATAAGTTATTATATTGATAATAATATTTTATTTTAAATAAAATATCTAAACTATTCTTAAAAAGTAAAAGAGAGAGAAATAGAAAAATAATATTATATAGTTTATTTACTTTTTGAGGGTTATGTTTGTAATTTTATTAAATTTATTTTTTATATTTTTATTGTATTGATATCGATGAGGTCAGTAGAAATGACTTATAAATAGAACCACAGGGAGTATACATTAAATTAAAATTATATTATATTTTTTAGATTTTTAAAATTTAGATTGTATTTTTTTAATTATATTATTTTTTCCATTTTATGATACTATGTCAACACATTTTTTTTATTTGTGATGTTAAAGAATTAGTTATTAATTTTTATTTTGATTTAGAGAGGCAATAACAATAAATGGTAGATGTTTTTTCAATTAAGTTGCGGTGTATATAAGGATTGAGGCTCGTTCCCAACTCATTGCTTAAAAGTTCTTATCACATATGCCAATTTTAATTGATTCTGAAATAATTTATATAAAATAAAATGTTAGTCATGTTTTTCGTATGTTCTAAAATAAATTATGTGACAATAAAATAAATTATTATTATATTTATATATTCTAATAAATAAAAAAAACTTCTTATATTGTCCTAGGAATAAAAAAACATATATAGTTAAAAATAACAATATAGTTATTTTTAGAGAAAATTTTAACTAAGAATTAGGGATGTGACTTTATTATTTGTGGGTTCCGAAAAAAATTATAATTTTAATTCAATTTAGGAAAACTGAAGTGAAAATAATTTTAATGATGAAAAAATTAAAGTACCCTCCACTTGTTATGCAAAATCATTAATTATTAATTTTTTTATTTCACTAGTTAATTTAACAATATGAATTGTAAATTGTATCAATTTGTCAAACAAGCAACAACGTCAATTTTTAATTTGCCAACTTTACTTGTTAATTTATTTATATCAGTTACAAATTACAAAACTTTTCAGTAATTTATAATTAATGTTAATAAATTAAAAAGTAAAATTAGTAATTTAATAATTGATGTTGTTTCTTATAATTGAACAATTGATATCAAGTTATGTATAATTATTTACACGTCAATTCATGTAATTTATAACTCATATTGGTAAATTAACAAGTGAAGTAAAAAAATTAATGATGATTGATTTTGCATAATAAGTGAATAGTATTTTAATCTTTTCACTGTTAAAATTATTTTCACTTCAATTCCTCTAAACTGAACTGAATTTTTAGATTTTTGTATCACTAATAATTAAATTAGACCCATAATTTTTAATTGAAATTCTCCCTTATTTTTACTTGTCATTTTTTAAAGAATTAATAAAATTTAATTTTTACTATTCTCCCATCCACGTCTCTTAAACAATGTGGATCTATGTTTCTGTGCATTGCAAATGTCTAAATTCTAGTTCAAGGTAAAGCTAGATGCCTCCCTGCAAGTATCTTTCTTTCTAACCGAATAGTCACTAGCACCCTTATGGTAATTCCCAATGCAGGAGTCAAATCAAAGACAAGTATTAATATAATTTCATATCGACCTTCTTACATTAAATTAAAGAATAAAATATTCAGCCAAAACTACTTATGCACAAGGAGCGAGGTATTGTAATGTAGTTGGAGAATCTTCCACGATGTCCTTGAGGCTATATGTGAGGGATAGACTACCATAATCATAATATATTTGCTTATTTGATTTGAACATAATGTTAGTTTGTCCAGGAGAAATGAAATAATTAATTAAAAAAACAGAAGTCTTCCGTAGAATTAAAAAAAAATAAAAAAATGGATCTACGGCCAATGGATCACAACTACCAAGGGAGATACACGTTACACCACAATTCCCGCTCTTCAATATATAAAATCCAATAAGCATTCACATTCTCAACTCATAGTCAATATGAGCTTGAAGTTTCCTTTATAGCTCACGAAACTTCTCCATAATGGCTCTGTCCTATGCCTCTTTTCATAGGAAATCTCAAAGTTCTTGATATTCTTTGCTTATTTGTCTTATGTTTTGTATCGAGTTGAATTTTCTTGACACGGGAGCTCCTCTAAATGTTCCAATTGGCAGAGCAACTCAGAGATGAATTTTCAGCATGTTTGGGGCACTAACTGTGTGGGGCTTAAGGAATGATGGAAAGAAATAGAAAAAAAATTAAAAAAGAGAAATAATAAAAAAAAACTCCGCCTGTTTTATAAAGTATTATATTCAATTTAGCAACATCTATCCAATATTTGAGAAATCCTTATTCAAGTAGAATTGAACTTTGATTGATCGAGATACTTTCAATCCGACGGATGAAGACAGAGTTTTAGGGAATGCCAGTTCTAATTTGTTCTCTTATTTTCTTCCTAATTGATATATAATACGATGACAATAAAAAATAATAAAAACAATGGACACATATCCATAGGCTATGCTACAGGTAGAAACTGTAGATCTGACCATTTAAGTATTAGAAAATTTTAAAATATGCAATTATGGTGGAATATTCATCCGAGTGTTTTGCTTTTAACTAATAGACATAATAGTCAGTGGCTAGTTATTAGGTAATACCACCTTCCCCTCTTAAAAGGAGGTCTCAAATTCAAAGCCAGTATTGACATATGTTGTGTGCGTTAGTCCCTATGTGTGTCTCTTCTTCCAGTAGGAAAACACTAAGTAATGGGTAATTTTTTTTAAAACAAGTAATAAATATGATAATTTATCAATACCACCAAAAAAAAAAAAGAGGGCAGAAAATTTCTGAAAAAGCTACACAACTTATTTCTTAAAAAAACGGTCCGATAACGATTGATACCCATAATTCATAATTTTTTACTTTTTCCCCCCTTAATCGAACTTGACAATAAACAACGTTCTCACTTTTCAGCCAAAGGTTTACTGGGGACTCCTGAAAACAAAAGAGACATGGCCTTTTATTTTTGGGCCCAAAAGAGCCACAACCTTTTCAAGGCACCGTGGTGGTTAGTTAGATTAGATTCTTAAATCTTGGGCACAAGAAAATAGAAAAGAAAAGGATTAATAATCAAATACACGAGGGAAGTGAGGACCAGCCCAAGGGAACTTTACGCTGTTGATCACGTCAATATACGCGGAGTCCCACACTGATGTGGCTTTGTATGAGTGTTTCATCCAAAAGATAGATAGATGACCAGGCACCACGAGATCCATATTTCTTTCCTCTTGCCCATATTTACTACCAGACGATGGCGCCCCATGTGATTGGCAATCCAATAAAGTTGAGGTGTTAAACATCCATGGCAGATCCAAGAACGTCAGAACAAAAACGTCCATTTTTAGTTGGGATATGGTGGCAAGTTAACAACTTAATCACCTAACTTGAACCTTTTCCTTTCCCAGCAAAGGCGAGCAAGAATATTACACACCCTTGTCCCACCATCACCTATCACTTTGACTAGATCAGAATTTAACCAAGAAAAAATGAAGGCGCATGAATTTATATCCTAACATGAGTGGGTAGGTGAGTTCTTGTCGGTATGTACAAACGGCATTAAAATTCCCGTAAAAGATACTAACCCCGTAACACGGACCTCCTCAAGCCCTGTTTGGAATCACATCCCCATCCGTGTAACTCGTGCGTCATGGACAGAGCGCAGAGCAGTCCACTTCACATCTTTAGGAAAGATCGGAGGTGGAATACACCTCTCAACGAGCACACTTGCCAGTCAAGCTCTCCAGCCCTTTCTTCTCTCTCATTTTCCCTCCTTTTCTTAATTTCCATCATTGTTTTTATTTTATTAAATAAATTTATTTTAATTACAAATTTGATAAAGGTGAAAATTGAGAAAAGGAGGGAAAAGAAAGGGAGAGCTCCCCCTCTTTTGTCATTTCCCGTCACCCTCTCAATTTTAGAAGAAAGAGCTGTGTCTGTTCTTCTGGTCATTTAACTTTCCAGTTCATTACTCTCCCTACCCTCTTCATGAGTCATTTTTATTAATTTTATTAATATCAATATATAAAAAGTAAAATAATAAAAATGTGTAAAATTTTAAATATATTCTTATATAATAAATCTAAAAAATAATATTATTTTTTCTCTCTTATTAAAGATAATTTTAAAAATATTTTTTTAATATTACTTAAAAAACTATACAATAATTTATAAATAAAATCAAATAAATGAAATCAGATAGATGTTACAGAATGTACACGAGAGTGGAGGGATTCCACGAAGCTTCTCGCTCTGCAGGCTCCAGCTTGCAGCCCACCGCCACCGTCACTATCACATTGACTAGTCAGATTAGTTTATAAAAAAATGAATCTACTGCCACCAGAGTATCTGGAGTTACAAATTTATCATATTTTTCAACGGACATTAATTAGTTTGTTTAATAAATCATACTACCATAACAATCGGCAGTGCCATGACACCCATGAATTCTGCAAGTTCAACTGGCCGCTGCCTTCTCTTTCCTATGATTTTCTCTCCTTGTCGGTCATTTTGTCCGTGGTTTCTAGGTTTCAATCACGTCTGATGCTTCCTCACCCGAGAAGAGGGGTATATAAAAGCAGTTCCCAGAAGAAGAAAACAAAGGAAAAGAGGGGCTGGAAGGGAATCGACAGATTTTCTAAAGAGACGAAACCAGAAGAGACTCGAACATGTCAACTAAATATTATAACAAAATATACTATCAGCATAATTACATGTCTGATAAACAGATCAAATAACCATTATAGTAAAATCGACATCATTCTTCCATGTCTACATTGAATTTCTTTGAATGGTGGAAATAAAGGTATATAGTACAGAGATGGGAGAAGCAATTGGCCAGAACCCCCCCCCCTCCCCACTTGTAGTAACTGTTCCCTCAAGTTTTGGCAACAGGATTCGTTTCGTTTCATCCTAAAGTACATTGTAGACCTTTAATGAATGTTGTCCAGAACTCTATGTACAGTTTCCAAAAAGGATAAATAGCCAACACAATCTTTTATAACAAGTTGACAGCTAATTGAGCACGACCACTGTTTCTTTTTTCACACCAACAGAACACACATGACTGAAGTACTTGCCTTTTCCTTTTAGGTTTCAAGCTCGCGCTGGTGTCCAATATCCACCTGCCTTTTTTGATTCATTTCTTGAACCAGTATTACTTGCATCCCGGCTCTCTGCGTTGGAGAGCTTAGGGTGTATGGGTCGTCAGCTGTTCATGCCCCTTCAAACCATATATCTCCATCAAACTAGTCCAACGGTAAAAAATTCCAACTTCACCAGAGATTTCTTAACTCTGAAGTTTTCACCTGTGAGAATAAAATTAGACCTGAATTGGTCAGCTCAAGCGCAGAATCTGATATAACGTAATTTAGCAGCATTGACCCTAGCATGGTTGACAAGTGGAGCGTATGTTTAATCAGAAAGAAACACACCACTAAAGAAAGCAAGAAAAGTAGCTACTAGCACGCTATATTTTAACGGCCAGCATTCAAGTAAGATAGCATCAACCTTTTTACTCTCGTCATAAACCATGCGAGGCATAAATGCGAAAAGCAATGACACATTTCATAAGGTAAGAGTTATACTTCTCCACTTCATCTAAAAAAGAAGCTCCTTTCAGGTCAAAAAAAGAAGCCCCTAATCCCTAAAAGGAATATATATTCTTCGGAAGAATCAGCCACTCACAAGTCACAACATTCAATAGGGTCTTTCTTTGACTCCGGATCTAATATCCGGCGCGTATTTAGAAGTGAGAATGAAGAGAAAACGAACCAAAAATGCAGGGCCAGCCATTGTTAGTGGAGAACAGCATAAAGTATAAGCATAAAACCTGAGATCTATTATCTAATGGCAGGCGCATCCATTATAAAGTGAATCTGACATGGGCTTATATAGGAGTAAAGAGTAACTCTTAACCTGAGAAGCATGCATAATGGCACAAGATTTGGACTGATGCACAGGACAGGATATGCAAATGCTCAAATAAGAAATTTGTTACGCATCTATTAGATTTCAGGAAATCCATCTTCTTTTATCCGTTAATCAACTCAAACGCCAACAAAAGAAAACAGAAACAAGTAATTAACATACCGTGTTCAGATTTCAGTCCTTGAATATGACCGATTTAGCTATGCCCATCAACTTTTCCAAGCAATTAGGGGTAAATTTTCGAGCAAACAGATAAGATTCCGAGTAGTTCGACACCCGGAGTTGACGAATCAGCTCCGTCGATACTTCAGCGGGCTTATATGTATAAGGGTGCCCATTCACCGTACCCGTCCAATTGACACGCGTCAGGGTGTATTTGGTGCAACCATCTGGATCCGCCATTGATAACAAAGTAGGAAAATAATGTTCTTCAGGGTAGCACTCGTCGTCTCTATAACAAGGCAACTTGAATTTTCCCCAGAGGACCCGATCTTTTATCACCAACATTGCATGTCGACGCGTGAGCGTGAAAAACTGAGATCCAACTCGAAATTGTTGGAATGTCACCTCGGGCTTCATAGCGAATCGACCTCTAGCAATGTATCGTTTCCAAAGGATACGCTCCTTGGAGAGAATCTCGATGAAACTCTTGTACATCAGTCGTACACCCAGCCGAGCCGCTTCAGGATCATATTCAAAGGAGGTCAAATCGAAGGTTGGGGACACAAAAAGGGAACGATACACATATCGGAAAGAATGGAGAGGGATACAGTACTGCGAGAGGACGGTAAAATAGGCATTGGCGGGATCGTCAAGAAGCGCGGTGGCAAGCAACCGGCGGGTGGCAGAGATAAGAGTGGGAGACGCGCGAAAGGTCCGCTTGGCCCCGATGAATCGTCCCTTAAAAACGCCGCTGGTTGGGCGCGTGACATTTACGGCAGGATCTGCGTGAACATAAATGTTGTACAAATCGGTGGGGTTGCCATTGAAGAATTGATCCCAGAGAGGGGCAAAATGGAGGTCAGAATTTGTGAGGAATAAGAAAGCGATCTTGAGCTTTGGATACTTGGATGACGAAAGATGGAAGTGTCTGTTGGGGTCATTTGGAGGGGACGACGAGGACGATTGTGCAGCGGCGCGATGAAAGAGAGCAAGATCGTCGAGCTCGTCGTCGAGGGAAATGGGGACGGAGTGTCGAGGAGGGAGGATGTGAGGGGCAAGGAAGAAGAAGAGGATCGGAAGAGACAAGAGAAGAGAGAACGAGAGAACATATGGGGTTGAGAACATGGAACTAGGAGCAAATCTCAGGGGGGAAAGAAAAATGGGTGAAATCGATGAAAAGGGTTTAGAAACTCGTGGGGATAGAGTGTGGGATACATGGTCTGGAATTGTGAAAGAGAGTGCAGGAAATTCAGGAAGAAAGTGTGCAACTGAATTTCAGCAGAAAGGCCTGGAATTGTGAGAAAAAAGAACTCATAAAGATGTGATTTTTCCTCTCCGAAGAAAGTGAGAGAAAACTCGAAAGGAAAATTGGTGGGTTTATGTTAGGTGTTTGCGAGCACTAGACTGACAAGAATGGGAGAGGAAAGAGGGAGGAGACTCTACTGTGGAGAGAGAATGTGGAGTCGAGACTTGCACAGGGCGAGACATCGAAGGAACGCGTGGGGTCGATGACTGGGAAGGCGTCGCCTGATCCTTCAGTACGGTTGGTGTGAGGTGCAGAGGAAGTTCGCCGTTAGGGTTGACGGCGTACACCCGATGTCGCCGCGGCACTGCTAACGGAGTTTGTGAATTGTAAATTTGTTATTTATTATTTCGCTATGATAATGATAATTCAAAAGATCACAGTATCACACATAATTCAAAGCATAATTCCCGATTCCCTCTCTCGCAACATGCAAATAGGATCATTCCACCTCCAAGCGGAATACAAATGTGCGCTTTTTTTAAAAAAAAAAAATTATTTACTGGAACTAGGAAATGTATCTGTAGATATGTTTGATTGCTAAAAATATATCATCATCAATGATTTAATTTAAAATAGTTTTTTATTTCAAAAATGCAACCCCCTCTTTTGGGCATTTTTTCGACTCAATTTTCCATCTTGACGAATAATTCTTTCAAGGGGAATTGTAAAGGTTTTGTTACAAACACGTAAGATTGATAATTTTGTTTATCCGAAAAAAGGTTAATCATTTTTTTAACTAGAGTGAGCATGATGTCTTATTTATCTCTTACCAGGAAGGCACAAGACATAAAAACAATCGTATGTTACTAGAAAAGAACACCTATGAAATGATACCCCGCAATCGCACTCAGAAAGTTGTACATTTGAGTATAAATACCACATTATCACACAAACCGACAAGAATAAATAATGCATAATTACAACAAATATTTGCCAACTTCGAAAACACTTCTCCAAGCCAATATCCTCGAACCCGAGTAACCAGCCACTCCACTCACCACAACAGCAAATCAGCATCTTCATGGAGGTGCTTGTGCATGGCGATTTCAAGCCCTACTCATCACGAAAGCATGGTATGTACAAACAGACAATGGGCGGGTGCCTCAATTGGAGAGAGGTGGGGTATTTCTCTAGCATTACGTTTCTGCGGGTTGAGGAACAGCTTTTGTCGAATTCACATCCCCTCTTCCATTGAGCTTAGGTTTGTCCCGAAGAGGTTTTTGAGTGCTGATCGCCCCCTTCACATTAGTTCTGGTGGGATTTCTGGCTGTTTGCGCCCCAGCGCTTCCCCCTGCTAAAATAAACAAGTTTAGAAACTTTTTGTTCCTGCCAAACGCTATCTTCAATTAGATTTGGGTATTCAAGACATTTACACACTTTCTATATCAAGTTGCAAAGGGATAACATCAGCAGTAAGAAGTAACATTAAACATCAATTATTTTCTCACAAAATTTAAGAACCTTCGGTGAGGAGATGCTGTGTTAGAACCATGCCAAGAAAAGCCTGAACTCGGGATAAAGTAGTAAGAGTGAAATTGGTCTGATGCCACCCTTGCCAACATTTTTTAACAAGGGGTGAATGCTTAGAAAGGCAGATATATAAAGTTGGTTAGAGTCATCCAAAAGGGAAAGAACAACCTGCGTACTTAGCTGTTTACCTATTCATCTAAGCTGCTAGCATTAAGATGAATATCTGACACAACAGTCTCGACAATTTACATCCCTATGTATAGGGTAGAAAAGCGTATAGAGTAACTCACCATTGTTAGGCAGAGATAATCGTTTTTTTGCCTGTTTATCAGCTTGTGTGATTCTCTCCTTTGGATTACTGTGAGATCTTGAACCAAGTCTAAGTCTTGAGTTGGCCTCTTCAATTTCAAAGTTTGCATTAGATTTTGGCTTAATCTGTGTTTTTGATGCCTCCGGCAAACCAGCAGACTTACTAGGTGAAGAGTCACCACCATCAGATGATGATGGCCCAGTTTTCTGACTAGCAAGGTTTAGATTGACATTTGGCGGAACTGATTTCTTGCTAGCAGATCTTAATTGAGATCTAATTCCATTTTTACCCTCCACTGCTCCATTTTCACAGACCATTACTCCATCCCTTGTATTAATGTCAAGAAACCGATTCTCCCAAGGACGGACAGCCATCCATCTTTCCAGCCAATTCCAACCCCAGCCACTCTTATCTGGTTCAAATCCAGAAGCAGCCTGCTGCCTTGATGCTGCCTGCCACTGGAAAGAAAAAGAGATCTTGTTCATGAACTTATGAGCGGGAAAAATGTATTAAAGAAAAAAGCGTTGCAACTCTCAGGGGCATCAGTATAATTGAATAGTTGAGGAATTGTCATCTTCAGAATCAATTTCCATTTTGTAAGCACCCTTTATAGTCATTATCACATAAATAAAAAAGAAGAAAGAAAAATTAGACGAAACCAAAAATTTAAAAGGAGCAATAATCTCCTGAATTACAAGCCCATTGCTTTACAGTGAGTGAGCGCGTTTTTTTATTGACAAAAGTTTAGGTTAGTTGATTTTCAGGGACTCACTGAAGAATCACAGCAGGCTTCAATGTGTTTACAGCAGTACTTATGATTATCCACCAATAAACAATTTATTAGTAACATAATGCCCTTTAGTGCACAGCTTTATTCTAAAGCTTACGAGCTACTTGGTAGTAAAAGCAACAGCAGGTGTTGAAAATCTGACAGACTATACAACCCAAAGACAAGTAAAACCCAAACAGAAAGACTTTGCCATGACAGCACCATATGCAGCAAGACAAGGAAAAATGCAACATAAATCTTGCTCTATTACCATCTTGTTTCTATATTTGATTAAAAATCTAACATCTTCCTAAAATTGTGTACAACTAGGCATAGATTATACCCTATTTAAATCAACAGGGAATAAGTGGAAGCTGAGATATCTGATAGCTATTGGTGAAGGTGGATAATAGATAGAATACAATCAATAGATGAAAAGCTACACCATAGAAATATAGTGATGAGAAATTTCTTCGATTAAGTATGCATCATAAGGTCCATAGTGGCAAGAAGTCTTGTGATCATTTTATCTCTGGTCTCCCTTACCTTTCATTGCAGCAGCAACAACAACAACAACAAGCCTTATCCCACTAAGTGGGGTCGGCTACATAGATTTTATGACATCATTGTACTTTATTATTTATTAAGTTTTTAAGATGTTATTAATTAAAAGGTCTCACTCAACAACCTCCAAAAGTGTTCTGTTTGATCTTCCTCTATCCTTCTTGACAAAGCTCAAAGTCATCTATTCCACTTTCCTCACAGTTGCCTCCTGTAATCTTCTTTGTACATGTGCGAACCATCTCAAACGATTTTCTACTATTTTTTCTTCAATAGATGCCACATCTACTTTTTCTCGTATTCGCTCATTTCGAATTTTGTCTTTACATATATATCCACACATCTATCTCAATATTCTCATCTCTACTACTCCAACTTTATGCTCTTGCTGTCCTGTCAAAGCCCAACATTCACTATCATATAAAATTGCTAGTTTTATAGCAGTGTGATAAAACTTTCCTTTAAACTTATTAGGTAACTTATGATTGCAAATAACTCCTTTAACATTTCTCCAATTAAACCACCCCGCTTGTATCCTATATGTAATATCTCCATCAATGTCTCCATTTTGTTGGATAATCGCTTTCAAATATTTAAACTTTTCCACTTAAGGTATGGTCTAATCACTGAATTTCACTTCTAAGTTACTACTCACTGACCTTTTATCAAAATTACAATGCAAATATACTGTTTTACTCCTATTCAAGCCGAAACCTTTTGACTCTCCCTTACCTTTCATTATCAGACAACTAATCTTATTAAGTTATGCTATCAAATATAAGTAATACATGAATCTATCTAGCATGGTGATATGGTTGGGCCTAGTGCTCTATCTATCAGTACCTGTTAGTGTTATAGAATGAGGCGATGGCCGTATATGCAAATAAATAACCCAACTGAACTAGCACTTTCCTTGAAATGCTTTGAAAAGTCATCTTGAGATCCAATATTCAGATATTACTAGAACAATTCTTTACCGTCTTATGGTGGAGAATAGCTAAAAGAAAGGCTACATTTTCAAGGGCATGATTGCCCGGCACATGTCATGCCAAGACAGCCAGTTGGACCATAGTTGAGTATTTACATTCAGAAAGTTACTCTGCAGCTGATCTCTGCTCTCAGGAATTATAATTAAAGGGGAAGCAAAGAAGGCTGATCGACAGTGTTTGGCATTTCCAATAGGGAAAATCACAACTTGGTTGTTGACCATGAACTGCATTCTTTACCAACATAAAAATAACAATAGGATTTTTTTATCAAAAACTGAAGAATGAACTGTTAGAGAATATTCTAAGTTTAATGTAGATATTTTGTATTTAGTGTTAGCTTGATTATAGGAATTAGTCATAATGATAGGATTATTCTGTAACTGATGCTAGAGGTTCCCTATGCATATAAATAGCCACATTCATATGAACGAAAAGCAAAGCAATTCGGCTATTCCTGTCATCTCTATATCATTCTCAAGCACCATAATGATGAAACCCTAACAACCCAATTCTAGTCACAAATTTAGGTCAGAAAATTGGAACCACAACCAACATAGATTATAGACCAGGTCAATTGCGTGTAATCTGACAAGTCCATTCATTCTAGAGTTTTACAATCATACTAATGTATCCACACATGTCGACATGTAATGGAAACCACAAATATCATTAAGTTCTTACATGTGCATTTCCGACCTGTATAACTCAGCAAGAGGCAGTAACTTACCTGATGAGCCAGAGCATATGCCATTGCTCTCTCACGTTTAGCTGCAGCCTCCTGTCTTTTCAATAATTTGGCTTGAATTTCTTCAACAGATCCCATACTGTCACACCAACCTTCCTGTATCAAACATGTGCATTGTTTAATTGTTAAATTGCAAGGCAGCATTAAAGAAACACTTGAAAAGCAAACTGCAATAGAATTTTGTGCTATAATATTCTGCATCAATAAATGAGCAATCATATCAAAATATAGTTTCTTCACAAAATTTTCACCTTCACCAAACATTCTAAACACAAATGGTACTGATATGACACTAGGGCCAAGTGTATAGTCTTTCCAGAATTATATGAAAAGACGTTGTTTAAGAAGTGGGATATAGAAATGGCACAGAAAATTTTATAAGTTTATTACTTTTAGACAAAAGACAAAAAAAAAAAAAATTACCCTTTTATTTTCTTTATATTTTCCTTAGGACACGTTAGTAGTTGTTTGTGACTGCAAAATACTTACCACGCTTAAAGGATAATTTTATCAAACTGTTACATACTGCATGGTAGTCAATGTTGGACATTGAAAGGATAAAAGGAGCAAAAAACCAAGGTAGCAAATATAAGAATGTTAACATGAATACATACAAGAAAAGACACAATCCGAAGTGATTATATAAAAGGAAAAATTAGTATGCTTCCTATTAAGGAAAAATGAAAAAAAAAAATCATTCACCAAAAAAATGGTAAAAAAAAAAATCAATTAAAGTAAATTGGAGATATTTAAAGAAAACTATGAGAGACACCAATGAAAAGAGTAGAGCAAACGGTCTTTAACCTTATGGAAAGATATAGATGAAAATCAAGAAAAAAACACTTGAAGTTATAGAATAGGACTTTCATGATGAATGATATATCTGAAAAGTAAGTTGTTGATAAAGACTCACAACATCATGTAATCCATATATCCAATCTGACTTGGTGAGATAAGGATTTTCTAAAGATTGTTATCATTATTGTAGTATTTTTTTCATTAAGGCATTTGGCTATAGCTAGAAGAAATTGCCATGCTATAATGAAACTAAAGAAATCCCTTTAAATGCTTTAGTACCGCAAGTAGTATAAAAGAAGGATTCAAGAAGTGTAAGTATAACAAAGTTGTTAGGAATGGGAGCGACCACTTGGAAACCTAAGGACAATTGGACGAGAGTAGCGGAGAACACTGCATCTTAACTCAAAACCTTAATGCTTAAGTTTATGAATTGTTTCTCTTTATTTTATATTAGTTATGGAGCCCAAATTTATCCAATGTAGGACTTCACATATTAACTTAAATCCATTCACACTTGGATAACCTTATAAAAGTCCATTCATTTTTTTATAAAGAAATATGGGCTTCCACATTTGTTTCTGAACATATATAATTTGAAGAGCAAATTCCCAAGTCCAAAATCCATTGTCTTTTTGTCTAAATTTCTACTTTTTCTAGCATCATCTAATATCTCCAATATCAAAGCTTCTCCTCCCAAGCTCCCAATTTCCATCTCTTGGCATGTTTCTAGAATAAACTCTCCAAACTCAACTATATATCTCTGGCCATTTTCTTAATTTTTGCAAGGTCAATGTTTTTTAGTTTTCCCTTCTAGTGCCCCCGTGAAGCACGTGTCTAAGAGTTCATCTCAAACTGCAGTTAACTCCAACCCTAATCTATTATCATACCTAAGCAAACACTGGATTTCTGATTATCAACAGATGCACTAACGTTAAAGTAAGTGGCCAATAGGTAGTCAGAATCTTAGAAATTGAGGATAGAAAACTCAACTAACTATAGAATACAACAATGAAAAGGATATTTCAACAAGCAATTAGATCCAAAAACCCATGTATCATGTGCTCAGCCTCGCACATAGTAACATGACATGTAAAGAATAAATAGTTTAGGTAGTTGGGGGGTTAGTTAGTTAGGTTCGGTTAGAATAAAGGGATGAAGGGGCCTATATAAAGGATCCTAAGTGTAGTCAAATGTTATGTTCAATGATAAAATCGCGCAAACATTATTGGTTCTTCTCTATCTTTGTTTCTCTTTTCTCTCCTCTCTTGTCGTCTACCTTTCTTTCCTATTTCTCCTCTATTTTATTTTGTTTCTCTCTTCATCTCCTTCTGTTTCCCTTTGTACGCTGAAAACACATTCCCAACCTACATTCATGAAGATGGCAGATCGAAATGATGCAAGACTCTGTACCTTGAAGAATCAACTCCAAGCCCTCATTGCCCAAATAGCCCTACTTGTCAAACGTTTTGATGACTCAAGTAATGGTGGAGGGTTCTCTTCCAACAATGTAAGCAGCATCAAACAACCCATAATAGAATTTCCATGATTCTAGCAAGATGACATTCTTGGGTGGGTTTTGAAGTGTAAACATTATTTTCACTTGGACGAAACACTAGATTCTTGGAAGGTTACCATGGCAAGTATTTACCTGGATGTGGAGGCATTTCAGTTGCATCAATCTTTCAAGCAATTGAAAAAACAGCTTTCTTGGGAAGATTATGTAGAAGCCATTAAAGCTCGTTTCCAAGAAGATGCTAGCGTTGTGACCATGAGACCAATGAAGCCCTTTACTCCACAAGACGCACACAACCTTGGTTGTTTACAGGAAATAAATCTTCAAAAGGTAGAGAAAGCAAACTCATGGCAAAAAACACTTTCATCTGGCTCTGTTGAAGATTCTTGGGTGTCTTTGCACCCTTCAAACAGCTGGGTGTTGAGCAAAAGATGAGTCTTAGAGTGTTAGATCCCAGCCATTAAAGTAAAAAATGACTAACCTCTATTGGATCAATCTTGTCGAGTTCAGCATCTGACACACAAGGTTCTTCTCACTGTTCGTATAAAGAGGCAACTTCTGGTGTGAAAATCTTGAAAACATTGAACCCAAAAGAAAGGGCAGGGTACAGAGCCCGAGATATTTGTCTTCTCTCTCCTCAAAAGTGCTGCATAAGTTTTCATTTGGGTTCATGTACTTGGGCAAGTTTCAGGTTGAAAAATCAAAGCCACAGCTGTCATATAGGGGTCACTTTCAGAAGCAAAAGCTGTGTCATTTTCCTTTAATAAGCCTAAAGGATCTTCGAAATTGGGTTACTCATGTTGGGCTGTACAAGGTGACAGGGATGGTAGAGAAAATATCAAACAAAAGGGTTGGATGGAAGCAAGGCAGAATTATCACAGCAATATTGGTTCAGTAGAGAAGGTTGGGGATGAAGAGGCTACTTGGTTGTCTCAATGTAATTTTCAGAGACAATTTCCAGATTTTCCTCTTGTTGAGGACAAGGGTGTTTGGGGAGGGGAGTATTGATATGTAAAGAATAAATAGAGAATAAATAGTTTAGTTAGTTGTGGGGTTAGTTAGTTAGTTAGGTTATGTTAGAATAAAGGGATGAAGGGGCCTACTTAAGGGATCCTAAATGTGAGTCAGATGCTATGCTTAATGATAAAATCGCAGGAATATTAATGGTTCTTCTCTATCTTTGCTTGTCTGTTCTCTCTTATCTCTTGTCCTTTACCTTTCTTCCCTATTTCTCCCGTTTTATTCTGTTTCTCTCTTCATCTCCTTCTACCACATCATAACACAGTATGTCAACTAGATTTAGAGATACAAGGAAACAGGGTAGGTCTCACTTTTCAATGTTACCAATCAAATAAGAATCTTTTTCAATACAGCCCATCCCCTAGCAAGTGGATTACTAAACAAGGAAACAAAAAAAGAAGATATCTCATATCAATGGAAGCAAGTTTTTGGAAAAACCTGCAACATATACAGAATTACGATTGGAATTATCTAATGCTGCTTACTTCTATTTCTCGAACACGAGCTTCATTTGCAAGTTGTTGCTGAAGTTTCTGTTGCGCTGATTGACTTTCCAATGCTATGCGAACACGCCTTGCTCGAACACGTGCCTGGACTCTCACCAAAGCTTGCATGCATCGAAGAGTTATGGCAGCTTGTTTCCTCACAGCATGACCTCTTACAAGGGCCTGAAGCCGTACCAATCCTTTCAGTGCTCGTAGTGCTCTTCGAGCCTGACATGTATAACAAGATATTCTACCATGGTCAAAGTCAAGAACTGCTCCTCTCAATACACCAAAGTAAAAAAGGACTCCGACTCCAAAACATAACCTCCTGGTGGTGGATAATAAGTCCCTTTAGTCAACTACTAAAGTATCTGGTTCTTAAATAACAAAAGTAATATGAATAATCCAAAGAAAAAGCACAACAATCTCATTGAATGCAATATTTTTAAAGCTGTTGGAGTTCGTTGTGAATTTAAATTTGGAAGCTATTCCCAGTTTACTATTAAGTTCTATCATTTTTGCACAAGGAAATTAGATTACCGAGTTTGGACAGGCACACAGTTAAAGAAGATTGGGCCATCAAATCAGATAAGAAACAAGGGAATAGAGGAAAACTTTGCAGATAAGGGCACCAAAACATGAAGAAGAACAGAAGATTGGGCTATCAAATTGGATAAGAAACAAGCGCTGAGTTCCTACTGGTACAGAGTTAAACAAGATGATATGGAGGAAAACCTTTCAGATAAGGGCCTAAAAACAAGAAGCTGAAAAGATTATTGGGTATCAAATTGGACAAGAGACTGCGTCCGCATGGAAAGGAATACTGCAAGGGCAATATTTCCTATGGAAGATCTTTCTCACACAATTCTGTTTTAACTAGGTGACATGATTGGCGCACGATCTTTTATTGAGAACTCATGTGAACATGTTACCTCCTATATTGGTGTCTGGTAAAAACATCATTGCTTCATAGCCTACTGTACAAAGGGTTAAAAGATCAAAATTTTATCATATCAATACAGACCTCCAATCACTTTCAAGTAGAAGAAATTAATTAACAAATAATTTTAGCACATATTAATTAAGCTAGAAACAACATGAAGCAATTACCAAAAATCCTCGGAATGCTGTTTGAATGCGTGTTGCTGCCCATTCCTCCCTCATAATTTGAAGGCTATATGCAGCATCCTGTACTTGTTGTGAAGTAGAAGGTGAATGCTGGACATCAGTGACTGAATGGATATTGGCATCTCCAGAAGGAGTAGCATCATGATTAAACTCATTCTGGAGTTTTTCATTGTCACCATCAATGGATTGTTTCCTTCTGTGCCGTATTTTTCCAATTCTCTGATCATTGAAAAACCCAACATTGCATAGGTTATTTTTGGCAGTATGTAACATGCAGTGCTTCAAATTTTCACACATTCTGTTTCTCAAAATGCCAGAAGGAGGAAATCCTATAAGCAATTGATCATAAGAACCCATACTAGAACGCAATTTGTTAAAATTACAAATGATCAATCAAAATGAAGTACATGTAAATGAACCGAAGACTAGGAAAGTTTGAAACAATTCAAATTGCTGTTAATTGCAAACCATTCTCAAACTACTCCATAGAGGTTAAAGTGAAGATGGCTTTGCTCCTAAGCAGAACCAGACATCAGTTGTCATTATCAACAACCAGTATGCAAATAGTGAAGTTTCTAGATGAACTCTCAAGGTATTTAGTCCCATATGAATATAGGGCATACATAAACAACATAAGCTAAAACTTGTCCCTGTTACCACCCAACTGAGCCAAAAACCAAGGATGAAATAGCAAAACTGTTGATATGAACTTTTAAACAGCCATACCCAAAGTGCAAGCTGGTAAGGCTGGAGAGTCGAAGGTTCATATGCACGCCCACATTAGAATTCATACTTCCAATATGGGAATTAAGTCCCAAACCTTGCAACTGGGTCATAACAATAATTTTTTCTTCTGGGATCGGGGGAGGTTACCAAAGAGTACTTGATTTGGTTCTAAGTTCTGGAGTTTGTTGCAAGTAATATTTCAGATGCCACATGCAGGATAAACAAAATATCAAAGTGACAACACATCAGTGCCACATATGTTGGGACAGATGCCCATAAATTAGCCTCCACTCTTAGAATGGGACTTACAACACAAGCATATCTGATTTCCATGCTATAGCTTAATAGATAGCATGAATAAAGGGAATAGAGGAAGGAGCAAACTCATAAAGAGCAATAATGAACTTGAGTATCATGCAAAGGTGCATAAGGATGCCCCACAAAATTACACCAAGATAATGTATTAATTTTACAAATGATAACTCATGCAACGTAGACTAAAGATTCAAGTCTATATACTGTTTTTCCAAGCTCTTCATACACAGGACTTCAATACAATGATCTGAATGAAAAATAATTGCATTTATATTTAAGCAATATCTTTTTCCATAGGTTCAAACAATGGGACTTAATAGGGGTTAGGGGGGAAACAACCATATAACATGAGTTTTGTATCTGACCATGTAAATCACTTCAATAAAATTTCTACATATACACATAAGCTAAACCTTGTCCCTAACAATGCCCACTTAACCAAAAACCCAAGGATGAAAAGAATGTAGTGCACACTCCGCAAAAAAGGAAAGAATTCACAAAAGCAGTTTGTTTTCCTCTAAGATTGGGATAGGGAAGCCTGACAGAGATGGCTTGATTCTAACTGCTCAAATTGAACAGTGTATACAGAACCTCAGCAAAAAGCAACATATGTGATAGCCATGTTTGCCAAGAGAGAATGGGAAAAAAAAAATAAAACTAAGGAAAAAATATGCTAAAAAGATGCAAGATGCTAAAGAGAAACAGAAAGCTGTACTCACATTTACATCCTTATCTGAAGACTCTGCCTTTTCAGATTTCTTTAGACCCACCAAAGCTTTAATCCACTTCCCCGAGACACCCATAGTATCATTCACTATTCTCAACCAAGCACAAACCTAGTAAGAGAATTTCCCAGCGAAGTCAATGCAAAAGTAGCAATTATTCTAGATATCCTTAACTAGCCAAAAGTTGAACTGTGTTGAACTATAATCAACAGAATGAAGAAGGTGGTAAAATGATCCAGAAAAGCACAAGTTCAACGGGTAAAAACTATCTAAAACCAATTCGATTTTGTGACAGTACCAGGTCTAGGGGACCTACGTAATTTACAATTCAATTTTAATATGATTGATCAGACTTCTCGGGTCATTACCTACATATCTGTTCACTGGTTTATTCTTAAAAGTGGGTTGGATTATAAGCAGGGATAAACTTTCACTACAGGGTAAAAATCATTAAAGAAAGTTGCCGGCAGATTATGCCAGAGTCAACTTTCTATCATTCCAGCAGACTGTTTGATCAGGACATTGCACATAAAAATGAAGACCGTTTGTAGTAAAAAGAAGGATGTTCAGTGAGAAATAGCACTCATATTCCAGCCAAATTTGGTGCTATAGAAGATCACTCATAAAATGCAGATTGAGTACAGGATGCCACAATATTAATCTTGAAATAAAGCAAAATTCTTTCAGAGACATGTTATGCGACAAAGAAGGAATCAAGCAAACAAGTAACAAAATACAATCACGAAGAGTCTGAGCAATGAAGGGGTAGGGAGGAAAAGTACAAAATCCCTGTATAATTTGGCCTTGAGATAAAGCAAATTTCTTTCAAAAACACATGCAGACATGGATTTATTTGAATTGAACAGGTAATAAAATCTGAAAGCAAGATGCTCCGGCAATCAAATTAGAATCTTCAATGAAACAGTTTGAAGGAGGCCAATTGGCCCAATTCAATAAGACCAGGTGAAGAGAATTATTTGTGTAAAATAACAAGAAGCGCAGGAGATTTTTTTTTTTTTTTAAGGGAATCAAGCAGCAATAAAGATTTCCATAACAGCCGAAAACTATCTTGACTTTACTTATCATCAACTGCATTGTAAATCCTTGCAAAACTACCTTTAGATATCGATATCCAAATCAAAAACCTTAATGGTTTTTAACCGGACATCCTGAGAAAAATTTCCAGAGGAGCCAAGATCAATTCTTAAGCTCATTGCTCTTGATTAATATACCAAAAATCCTACATTGAGACGATAAACCCTTGCTATGCAAATGAATAAGTATTAACACGTAATAAAAACAACATAGCTGATTTGCACTAGAAAGTAACCAAAAATGCAAAGCCCAGGAGATAAAACGTAAAAGCAGTGCACTATCCATGAACTATTTAGCAGTATGAAGATAAAAAAAGACTCGCACAGACCTGCACAAAGCAAAGTGACAAGGCAAACTTTCTTCTCAATCCATGTACATACATTAACTAAATAGAAAATATAATAAAATTAATAGATCCACAGCGATTAAAATTACGGGAAGTGAAATGGCCGAAGAAGTGACCGAGGTTTTGACGCTCCTTGTTAGTTATACTAAGCAATAATCACTTGACTCGGTTGTTCGTAGATTGACTAGCTGTTTGTTATGAAAACCCAAAAAATATGATTGCTGTGCAACTTAAAGAACATTTGAACCGAGAATTCCAAGTTTTGTAAGTGACAAGCAGATAAGTTCAACATCGGGGAAAGAGTGAACAGGGAGGACAATCTCATACTGCACAAGCCAAGAAAATAGTGCAGATCAAGAAATCAAATAGGTGAAGCTCAATTCACCTGAGATTCATATGAAGAGTGAGCTTAATCATCAGCGATGAAAAAAGTTGGCAGTACCTTTTGAAGAGTTGATCCATTGATCGGTCAAAGCAGTAAAATGGCTGCTTCTCACAGCTTTTGAGAGGATTTTCAAGTGAAGTGAACTGGGGAGAAAGCTCTATCTCTCTTTCTCTATTTCTCCATCTCCCTCCGTGGGCTTTTTTTTTTTTTTGCCCCCAACCCTGAGAGACAGTTCAAAAAGCCGGCAAAAGGCCAGGACCGGTGTTGTCTAACGTGCGCTGGGAGCGTGTGGGAGCACGGCAAAACGGCGTCGTGGGGTGATTGGCGACGACGCGTAGTTATCAGGGGCAAGGGCCACAGAGTCAATCACGGGACGTGTTAACCCCACCCAGCTAACGAACCCACATTCGCTTGTTCTTTTTGACGGTGCATCTTAAGCTCACATCACTGCTCACTGCTCGGATATCTGCTGGTAAAAAAACAACACTTAATGTAAATCATTTTGGGCTCTTGAAAGAAAGGGAACAAGATGGACTTGCGTTGCGAGGGAAAATGCTCAAATTCCCCCCGCCCCCCTGGCTTTCAAAATGATGGACAAAAGAAGCTGGTCAAAAAGGGGGAAAAAACAAGGATAAAAGGAAACTCCCAACGTGGAGTAAAATAAGAAAAAAGCAGGGAAAATTTTATCTAAGGTTCTCTGAACGCACTTAAAAAAAGAAGAAAAATAAAATCTTTTAAATTCAGAAAATTCACTTCAAATTAAGGTATCGAAGTGAAATTAAAATATAAAATAAAATTATTTCATTATCACTTATTTTCTCTAATTTCTTACTAAAGTTATTTATTTTTTTATGAAATTGTTCATTAACTTATGAAAAATTATACCTTTCTCTATATAAAGTTATTTAATAATGGCATAAACAATTTCTATAGATTAATAAATAATTTAATATAGGAAAATGAATAAAGTTAATATTAAGTAATAGCACCAACGACTCCTATATGTTCATAAATAATTTCATATAAAAAAATGAACAACTTTACTAAAAAATCGAAGGAGATGAGAGATTATAAAATAATTTTATTTTATATTTTAATTTCACTTCAATACCCTTTTATGAAGTGCATTTTTAGAGTGTAAGCCTTCTTTTTTATTGAGTACAGTTAAGAGGTCTTGAATGAAATTTTTTCGCGGGTGAAGCAGTTGTTAGCGAAGCTATCTTAGCATGTATAATTGCTCCTTCAAGACAAAAAATTCTCTCATCGTTTTTTATAGATCAGATGTCGAAAATTTGTAATGTAATAATTTTAATAAAAGGATAAATCAATTCGATGAAGAGAGGCAGGAATTGCTGTTAGCACATCATGCTCCATCATTCCATCTTATATACGGGCGTAGTTTGTGAGCATACGGCTGTATATCATACGGCTTGTTGATTTAATGAAGAAGCCGATCTAATTCCTCGTCAAAGTTAGATTGTCAGAATCTAATTTCAGGTTTTTTTTTTATTTTTTTGTTCTTTTCTCCTTTTGAAATGCAACCAAGCCATGGTAGATCCTTTCGTAGTCTTTTTGCGTGCTTCTCTTTATTTAGTTAGTTATTCAATTAATTTAATAGCATGAGATTATGAATTGTGGCGTTAAACAAAGTATAATATTTATTTAATCATTATAGATACTGTGATCTTATATTAAAGAGTATTCAAGTGATTAAGATAAATATGTAGCCATTAAATTAAATGAGTGACTAAGCGAACCAATTGATGGGATTAAACTTACAATGATTAAAAGACCAATTCACTTATCCTCATATACTCAATATACTTTTATTTAATTAAATCAAAACAAATGGATTTTTATGTGTGTTCATGGTTAAACAACAAATACCAGGCATGCCAGAGACGCTGAATCTCAAATAGATAATGAAAGGGTCTCGAGTTTCTTTACCACAGTTTGTTCGAATGTAAAAAGATAATAAGCTTTGGTAGAATAAGTGTATAATTTTATTGAAGTGTTTAAAAGTTGCAAACAAAAACTAAAGAACTGAAAGGGCTAGTAATTGTAAATTATGCGAGTCTTGATCGAGTGTTGACTATTCTCTCTGTTTTTCTTCTTTTTATTTATAGTGTCTGATAGCAAAAGCCTTTCCTTTGAGACTTAGCACGTTCCACCAAAGATTTAAGAATCCCATGAAACTCATGGCACGGTCTCTCCATCAGCCTATTTCACCAAACTACTTGGACGTAGATTTTAGCATCACTTAGGATCGTATCTTTGTGCCAATGGTCTAATATTTGAAGTTGACAAGATTTTACCATGTTTACGTGTTGTAGACTTTGATGAGCTTCGTGGCCGACCTCTTTTATTTATATTGAGCCTGACGTTTTAACTATTCAGCCCAACTAACCTCGTGACCTATTTGAGTAACGTTTTATATTTAGTCCAAACAATGTGCTAATAATATTAATAATAATTTGTCATGGAATAATAATATATAAAGAATCCATATAACTTAATTTATTGCAAACATGCAAGTATCTTAAATGTAAATGATTGAGTATGTAAGTCTTTTTCAAAGATTAAAGTTACAAAAAGTAATGGTATGAAGAAAATCTAAAACTTCTCGTTTGGTATAATAGAAAAATATTTGATGGAATCAAAATAAAATTAAGTTTTAAAAATGTGTTTGGTATGATGATGAAATCCTGATATAATTATAATAATTATTTGTGCTTAAAATAAGAAAGGACCAAAATACCCTTTTCCTAAAATTAAAGACCTCACATGTCCCCTGCTTTCTTCCCTATAATCCTCTTCTTCGATAACAACATACAGACCCATCAAAAAAATATATCAAAATCACCACAAAAGCTCAAAAACAAATTAGCTAAAAATCACATAAATTCAAGACAAACCCATGCACACATCAAATAAAAATCATTGGGATAGTTCGGCACATGCAAGTTGAACAAGATACCATTGGACTGAAGCAATGGTTGTGGAGGCGTGGTGGTGGAGATGCTGAGGGATTTGCTAATGACAAGGCTGCGATGGTTGCAGAAGCGTGACTCCTTGCCTTTTTCTCCAGACCTCCTTGTGCAAATCATGTCTAGTGGAACGCTTTTGACTTGGCCTACTAATAGTTTGGATTTTAACTTGACTGTCACATTCTTTTGTGTGTTCTCTTCATCTTCTTGATGTTAGCTTTATAGGTCCTATTCCTTAGTGAGAATGGGTCCATTGTATCAGGATTGCCAATAACAGAGGTATGATGGTTGCAAAAGTTCGACTAGCAATGGATCAAAGTTGAAGACCAAGGCATAGAAGATAAAAAAGGTTAGATTATAAGGAGAGTTGTCCAATTCCATTAAGGTGAATAAAGAACCAAATTCTGCCTTTTTTTCATATAATTAGGATTCTTGAAAGTTTTTATTTATGTGTACCAAACATCACTCTCTCAAGATTCTTGCACCAATTCCCTTTCCATGTTTAGGATTCCCCTATACCAAACATGTCTTAAGCTTAATGAGGCCCTAAAGGGATTTTGGTCCGTTATGCAATTCTCTTGCCTACAAAGGGAACCATAATTGGTCATATTTCACCCTTCAAGACACACGTGGAGCAAAATTAGAATTGATGATAGTTTTTCATATAGTATAAATTATATTAAGTCGATAATTTGAGTGAGTCAGGTATATTTAGACCTAGCTCTATTCAAGCCAACCCAAACATTTAGAAAAGTTTGAATAACTAAGCTTGGCTTGAAGCCTTGAACCACTTCGGGCCTAAATATCCAACTTATAATGCTTTCCTTTTACAAATTAATTTAATTTATCCTTATTTTAAAATTAATTATTTTTATTCATACAAAATATAAAATATATTTTTTGGGATACTTAAAAGACGTAGAAGATTCAATTTTTTATAAAAATTTATATGGGTCTTAAAAATTAAAAGTCAATATTAAAATACACTTTAAATATTATTTTGAGATATTTCATAGATTAAAAATAATAAAAACATGACAATGTGAATATTTTATTTTTTAATGAAAATATCTATAATAATGCATTCAAATATAAAGTACCTGAGTATAAAATGACTTAAAAATTTAAAGATTAATTAATATTTAATGCATTTCATGTATTTTTAAAATGAAAATTTCTCTAGCCTAAATTTTTTCTATGAACATAAAAAAATATACTTTGTTAAGCCCTGCTCTAAATTTTTTAAGGTTTATTTTATTCAAGTTGGTCTAAAGCATCAAGTCTAAAATTATATATTTTTTCCTATTGTTTAGATTAGAGCAAGTAATTTGGACCAAACAGGCTCTATTAAGGCCAATCCTGAACAAGCCTAAAAAAAAAAGCCAAGGCCAAATCCCACGCTTGTTGAACTTCAGGCCAAGTTCGTATACTTGAATAAATTGTCACTCTTTTTTATTATTATTTTCGTGTTTTCATGCCATTTTTAATTTATAATCTAAAATGATCACGATTTGAAAAAAGCAATCTAAATATTGAACACCCTAATAATGTAAAGATATTCCATCATCAAAAAAAAAAAAAGTAACAAACCAAAACAAATAACAAACCAGACAATCAAGCCAAGTTGACCAAACGTGAGATTTCCATAAATAAGCTATTTTAAAGGGTGATCGTACATTGTCTAGCACAAGTACACATGGCAATGCGAGAAGTATCCCCTCCTAATTAAAAAAGATTAATTAGCAAAATAAACTTAAAAAATTGTGTAAAAAATACTTTAAACTCTAAACTCTCAAAATATATAAAATAGATCATAATCTTTTAAATTTATAACAAATTAAACTCTATCATTAACTTTTTGTTAATGCTGTTATTGTCCACCATCACTGTTCAGCACAAGCCTCAATTAATGCTGACGTGTCATTTGTTAATTAGCACCATTGACCTTAAACTACTATGTGAGTAGCGTCTTGGACTCTAAAATTTCAAGCAAATTATCTCTATCATCTATGTAAAGAATCTTGATTAGTATGTATGCCAAATTAGCCTTAGTGCAGTGAACACATTGTTGGCTATGGCGAACGACCCATAATTTTTTGAAATGACTTTTTTTACAATTTTTTTTGCAATGTTTTCCAAACGATTGGTATTTCATGCTTCCGTATACTTTATAACTCTGATTTGGTCTTATTTTAAATAATATTTATTTATTTAAGGGTGAAAACTTGAGATCCCA